GGGGGGGGAGTTTTTGCTATAGGGTGCAGGTGCTCACCAGAAAGACAGAGAGAGAGAGAAAGTGAGAAATCACCCCCCAGGGGGAATGACCACGCCACAATCCCTTCTCCTCCATTCTCCTCTTGGGATCTTGGGCATGCATGCATGCACATGCGACCGGCGTGAGTTTAAGCCACCAGGTCTGGGACTTGAACCACGGTCGACTACATGGGAGTCCAGCAACATAGCCATTACGCTGACTGCTGGTCCTGGGGTTATTTGTCATTTGTATATCTTCTTTATTTTTTTTAAAGAATTAATTAATTTTATTCGTTGTTATTTTTTTTTATTTGCTGTAGGGCACATGCATTCACCAGAGATGAACAGAGAGAGAGGGAAAGTGAGAAGGCAAGCTGCCAGGTCCAGAACTTGAACCATGGTTGGGCATGTGGGAGTCCAGCTCCTCAACTACAAGGCCCCCTACTGGCCCCTGTATATCTTCTTCCTTTTGTTTTTTAGGAGAGATTTTTGCTGTAGGGTACATGTGCTCACTGGAGAGACAGAGAAACAGAAAACAAGAAATCACTTCTCAGAGGGCTGGCCATGCTCCAGACCCTTCTCCTCCAGTCTCCTCTCAGGATTTTGTGCATGTATGCACATGTTTCTGGCATGAGTTTTAAGCCACTGGGTCTGGGACTCGAACAGCACACAGTCAACTACATGGGAGTCCAGCAACATAATCATTATGCCATCTGCTGGTCTCTATATCTTCTTTCAAGAACTCTGTTTCCTTTGCTTATTTTGAAAAAAATATTATTTATGTGTTTATCTGTTTATTGTGACCACCAGGTCTGGAACTCAGACTACAGTCAACCATGTGGGAATGCAGCACCTTAACCACCACGCCACCTGCTGGCCCCTCCTCTGCTTATTTTTAAATTGGGCTTGTCTTTTTATTACTGACCTGTGAGAATTCCTAATGTATTTGGAGATAGGCCATTATCAGACATATTTTCTTCCATTCTGTACATTCTTTTAACATCCTTTACGATATCCTTTGAGGTGTAAAGTTTCTCATTTTGATAAAATCTAGTTTTTCCTATCGAGCCAGTCCAGGGTCAGGAAAGAGCTGCGGAGTGGAAGAGCTGAGTCTGGAACGTCGAGTAGGCTCGAGCATACCTTGCCTGCTTCACCCTTTCCCAAGCTAACCTGAGGCTAGGCAGGAGTCGCCTTGTCTCTGCCGTGTTCACTTCTCCACACCGTGGGTCACATGGACACTTGGCAGTAAGGCCACATTCAGGATTGCAGGAAGCCACAAGTTCCTCTTCCTGTCTCCATCTATCAGTAGATGTTAGGGTAACCCCTAAGAAGCAAAACTAAAAGGGGGAAGAAAGCTTTCCTTGACATGCTCTATTGATTGTAGCAGTTAGCAGCTTTGCCTGGGAAAATGGCAGAAGAGAACAAATTCAGCTGTGCGTTGAACAAAGCGTGACGCTAAGACCATTAAACGTGAGCTATCCTGGTAGTTCTGCTGCATGGAGCTGCGTTTTGTTAGCTCTGAGGGTGCTGGGGAAGGCACTCAGCTTGCTGTAGGATGTAGATAGAGCGCTGTTCAGCGTGGTTCCGCTGGGGGCGTCGGGCTCTGGGAGTGCACAGGCTGAGCATCCACTTCTGAGCGTCCCCATCCTCAGCCTGGCATTCCCTCGGCGAGTAGCAAAGTCGGG